TAGCCTCTCACTCTGCTTTTTATTTATTTTTTAAAAATTCTCACACAAGGATATGTTTTATTGATTTTAGAGAGGGAAAAAGAGGTGGGGGGAAGAGAGAGAGACGGAGAGAAACATCAATCAATTGTCTGCCTCCCATACACTCCCCGACCAGGAATCAAACCCACCACCTTTTGGTGTATGGGGATGAGAGATGATGCTCCAACCAACAGAGCCCCCATAGCATTTTTTCGCCCTATAGCATTTTTTTCCCTATAGCATTTCTCAACACCTATGATGTATTATGAACTTACAAATTAGGTCTGTTTTCTCTACTAGAAGTTTCAGGAGGGTAGGAATTATTTTTATGACTTATTGACTGCTGCATCCCTAGTACCAAGGATAATTCTTGACACACATTAGGTGTTCAATAAATGTTTGTTGAATGCATTTTTCCTTTGCCTCAAAGTTAAGCAATTCAGTTGATAGTTAGAAAGCTCTCTTATGGAAAACTAAGAAGCATGACTACAAAGCCCTTGTGAGCTGCACCTTGGGACACTTCCAGCCTCTTTCACTATTACCCTACTTCACTCTAGGTTGTGGGCTGATGAATCTACCTTGTCTGAGCTCTGGCACTTGCCATGCGTTGCAACCTCTGCCTAGAACTCCCTTTCTCCTCCACTGTAGGTTGTAAAATTGCCTCACTCTGACATCAACTTCTGTGGCATCACATTGATTTGTTCACCTTTTTACTTGTTTGTGGTCTCCACAACAGTACAATAGCAGGGACTGTGCCTGATTCATTGGTGAATCCCAGCACCTAGCACAGAGGCTGGCCCAGAGTAACCCTGGACACATGAAAAACTGAGCTGAATTGAAGTTGCATCCCATCCTGCACTAAGTCTTCTACTAAAGAAATATATTTTTTAATTATTAGGAAACGCTTTCAATGGATTTTTCCTCTAGAATGATGAAATGCCTTTAAAGCTGAATGAAACCAGGGCAATGGGTTCAGAGACAGAATTTCTTGAAGGAGAGTGATGAAAAATCATAGCTTATCGGTAAGCTACCCTAGTGAGATCACAGCTTGGATACTGAGCTTAGTTTTACGCACATTATGTTCTAGGTAACTGGAAGATGATTGCAGAAGATGGCAGTAAGAAGGATTAAGTGTAATTATTTATGAGATGTAGTTAAAAGAAGATAGCATGCATATGTTCAATAACTATAGGGAATAGACAGATCTCTAAATATCTGATGAACAAATCCACCCAAGGGCTACATTTAACAAAGGACAACAAAGGGATATAAATAGGATGAGAGAATAAAAAAAGACAGAGGAAAATTTAGAAAATTTTCAGCATATTGTGAGATGGTGTTCACTAGCAACCAGAATTGTCCAGTAACAGCCAGAAAACTGAATGATTATGGCCTGAGAAATTTGTCAAGGAGGCTGGAGCATTGGAGTACAGCTGAAGTTCCCAACCTTTTTATATGTTGAACTGTAAAAACAATGCATCGTTTTTTTCCTAATATAATATTTTCATATTAGATGTGACTTTTTCAGTTAAATGAATACCCCATCCTCCAAGATTCTTGTCTGAAAGTCTGGATTATGACTATAATCTACAGCAGAGATGAATTAGGCAGAGACCTGGACTCTTTGAACTCTAAGGCCATTCTAGTTTTAAAATTTTGTTTCCTGTATAGCTCCTGTGTGCTTAAAGCGGATGTTGTGGGGAGTGTGTGACTGTGACTAAAACAGAAGAGTATGTGATCATCAGGCTTTCCACACAGGATGGTCCCAAGCTTTGTGATAATAATGGGAGGTTATTGCCAGGTAACTTCTGTCTATTTACTTTATTGTTTAGCTGAATGTTATGAGTAGTACAAATGTCAAGCCCTGTCAAGCCCTCCTACTACTGTTTGTTTTTTGTGGCCGTAACATAGTCATTCATTGACCACATACCATCGAATAAGACAAAAGAAAGTTCTTGTCTTCATGAAGCTTACATTTTATTTGGAGAAGACAGGTGATAAACAGAAAGATAAATGGTAACTGTAATTTCAAGTAAAGCTATTTGCTATAAAGAAGTGCTATAATGGCATAATCCACAGAGAGCTTTCACAAAACCATCTCCTAGGTCTTAAGATCACAGTCTGTACTTTATGCTCATTTCTCAAAAATCCCAAGCCCTTTATTTTTGTTTCCTCAATATCACAAAACGAACATCATAGTGTCTCTAGCAATATTTCTTTAAACTCCCTTTTCCCTTTTCTTGATTTCCTTATTCATCTCTCTAACAAATCCCAGTCTCACTGAAGCCTCAAGTCCTCAGAGTTCATATTTCTCAGTGTAAAAAAAGGCTTTTGTTGCTGCAATTTTTTTTTTGGCTTGTGTGCTTTAGTGAGGATTTAGAAAATATTGTTTATTGTAATTTTTTACATAATGAGTCATATAAGGTAGTAGGTTGCTTACTTTTTTTGGTATGTATTTATCTAATTTTTTTTTCTTATTCTGCCGGTCTCGGTAACATGAGCTTGTGGTGGTGAACCACAGCCACATGTAGCAGCCCCTCCAGTACCCTCCATTCCCTTACTATTTCAGTGACCACTAGTTTGACTTCCAATTGTGGCTCCTGTCTCTCTGGCCATGGAGGCAACTCTGCTCTCTCATATAGCATACATGAAGAGCCAGGGACTTCACAGCCTCTGACATGAGCCCCTTATCACTGATTGTGGTGAGTTGGCATTTAAACAAGCTAGTTCATTTGTCCCTTTGGTGGGATAGATTAGTCCAAGGCATGTGTTCCACACTGTTTCCTAATGTTCCCCAGGAAGATTAAGTACCAATCATCCCTTGTTAGGAACATGTTTGATAGTGCACTTTTTGCATGTCTGTCTTCCCTTCCCTATTTCACTTTCCTATTCTCCTACTGGTGGTTCTTGTAATTACCTCTCAAATAAACTACTTGCACTGGAATACCTCTCTCAGGATATACTTCTGGGAGAATTCTAACTAAGATACCATCTCTACATGATTATTAATCATGTTGTAGATCAGATCTCTCCACTGATTATCTTGGCACTTGGGTGTCCTAGGTCTAAGGCAAGTGCATGTCTTCATGCTCATTATGAATGTATGCATTGTTGAAGATCAGCTATGATCTGCCAGGAGAGAGCATCATCCACAGCTGAAGTAATACCTATATGCTCACACTAGGGTGCCCAAAAATGGTTTAATAATCATTACATACCACTGTTTAGATTTTGAGTATGTTTATGACATTTGCCTTTTGATTGCTTAGTAGTAGATATAATGATTATAGGCTAATATCTTCTCAGGAGGAGTCTAGTTGTTGCACTTTCCAGTTTCATATGGTTCAGTGATTTCTTCTGCGTTTAGTCTGGCTGCTGACACATGTGTTGAAATCTCTCATGCCGATCAGCCTGAGAAAAGTTGGGATTGCTGAGCTGAATGTGTGTAAAAGCTACAAAAAACTGTTGTATTATAGGAAATAACCCCAAATTGACAGATTATAGTAGGAAGCCTGAACAGGAATTTTAATCCCTATGCACAAAATTAGTCTGCACACTTATTGATCACATTCCTGCTGTTTTATCTGTAATTGTTTTCAACACTAGTTCTTCACAATTCTGTAATATTTTATGTGGTCCTGGTGTCTCTGTGGGGACCTCTAAAAATGACTGTAATCCACAATGACATTCTCTGAGACTCAAGCTTCCTAGGACATCAGCATTGCTCATCAGGACATTTTGTAGGGACACATTGCTATTCTTCATGGGGTTCAAATATTGGAAAGGACAAGAGATCTAAGACTTGGTGTCATCACTCACATATATTGAAGTGAGAACAAGAGAAAAAGAGAAAAGGAAATGATACAGGAAAAGTAGGGATGTATCTTAGTGTTCGTCCAGTGTAATTGCTCTTTGTTTCTTCTGTTTAAATGTAAAATATGGCTGGCAAATATATCTTCTTCCTTTGTACTAGGATTGGGAGGGAAAGAGGTAATCCTGAAGAAGTGAGCTCACTATAAGAAGTAACATTGCCTACTAAAAAGAGTCTGAAGGCCAGGATTCTAGTCCCTGCTTATAAGCTGTATGACTTTGTGAAAATCGCTTAGCTGCTTTGCAATTTTCAATTGCATTTATTACAGAATTAAGTTTACCTCTCATACTCCACTAGACCAGAAACATCTTAAGGTTAGGAATTGGGTCTGATTCAATGATTTCTCCAGCACTCACACATCATCTGGCACAAACTATATTAAGGGAATGATTTTGAATTTAAAAAAAGAGCATGCACAAGGGTCCCATGGCGGTGAGAGTTGGATTTAATTGATATGCACCAAAGGGAGAACAGAGAATAATTAATTCCATCATTCAAGATACATTTACTGAGTGCCTAGTACATATACTAATACACAGTTTTATATGTACATATATTATACTACACATAATATATATTTCTAGGTGCTAGAAATACTCCAGTGACCTGAGCAAAACCCCACATCTGCATAGATCTTTTATTCTAATAGGTAAAGGGGTACGGAAAGATAAAAAAAAATTACAGACAATGCTTGGTAATAACAAGTGCTACAGAGAAAAATTAAATAAAAAATGGAACTTGTGGTGCAATTTTACTTAGAAAGCAAGTGAACCCCAAGTGTAGTAGTAACCTGTTCTGAGAGAAGCATAAACAAAGGAAGGTTTGGTTTGGGAGGCAAGAAAGAAGCAAAACGCAGCATAGTTTAAAGAACGGTTACTTTTTCAATTTGTAAAAATACAAAAATTGTTAAACTTAAAACAAAAATTCCTCTCCAGGGGGATTCTCACCTCAGCTTCTCTGCTGAGACACAGTGTTTTCCGCCTCTGAACAGCTTCTGATTGGCCCGGCGTAGATGCGTACTCTGTGCCTATTGGCCCCAGTGCCTGTCCCCAGAGGAGTGGCCATCTTGGGTCCCGCTCCCACCGCGCGTCCTTGTGGGAAATGTAGTCACAGCTCTGCTCCGTTGGGTCGTGGGAGTTTTTGCCCTCTGTTCCCGGTCCCCTCAGGCAGCACACCCCCAGGCGCTGCTCCTGCCCCGCGCTCCCTCCCTCTGCCTTTCACTTCCCAGCGCCAAGATCTTGGAAGGTAGGGGCGGGGGGCAAGCACGAGTCGAACAGTGTTTCTGGGGCGCGGGTGTGGGTTGCACGCGCGTCCTGTCAATCACCCTGGCTGTCCGGTGGGACGGGGCTGGGCCAGCGCCGCTAGTTGGGAGCTGGGGGTCTGTCAGGAAGACCTTCACTCCGCACCCCACCCTCGGACCTTTTCTGAGCCAGTTACTGAGCACCGGCCCAACCTCTAACCCGCCCGCCACCGCTGCATTTTGTAAGTGGGTAAACTGAGGCACGGGGCCACGCCAGTGGTTCCAAGGATTCCTTCGGCCCTTGTGGTGTAGTTGGTACCGGCCGCTTTTGGATGGCTTGTTAGTTTTATAGGCAAGTAGCAGGACTCTCTGCCCCTACAGATCTGTGTTAAATATCCAGCTCTGGGTTCCCCAAAGGGTGGGTACGGTTGAACACGTGCTCGAGGCAGGAACCAAGCAGGGCACAGGGAAGGCAATATTTCAGAAGAGAATTTTACACTAAATATTCAAAAAACACAAAAGTCATCGAATTCATTATTGTAAGAGAACTCAGTAGTCTGTTGGGCCCCCTTACACCTACTTCCTTGCTTAATGTTTTTATATGAAAATATGCAAGATTTTTAAAGGTATATCACCCGGGGCGCTGGAGGGGAAGGAAGCCTGTTAGTGGAATTGGAGCTAGATTTAACCTTCCTCTCTAGAATCAAATTCTACCTCTGTTGTATGACCTTGGACCAGACTCTTACAGTGCTTATCTGAGGAAAAAGAACTTAACGGAGGAAAAAGCTCCTTGCTCAAGTGGCCCAAGGGTGCTACTTGGAGCCAAAATTTAAATGGGGTCTTGCTTGTGAAAGTTTGCCGCTTGCAAACTTACTGCTTTATTATTCGAGGTTCTCTCAGAAATGTCCAGTTGTTTCATAAAGTCTCGGACCTGGGTCCGGTCTGGGACTACCGAGGTCCACCCCATCTCGCACCTGTTAGGCAGGTGTACCTGAATTCTCCCAACGGCCCCGTCTTACGTCCGGCGGCCCGGCTGGCGGAGGCTTCTGGGAGTTTGAGTCTCTCCTCGTGGTTCCCAGAGGGCTGGTACTCCACCTCCCAGCATGCCATTCTGTGTGGCGAGGTGTCTCCTGGGAGATGAAGTCTCACTTTCAGCGGTTCTGCGTAGCAGCCCTTGACTCGCAAGTACAGTTTCCTGTGTCCCTGTGTTCTGGCTGCCAGCCTTGGGTCCGCCTGCTGTCAGCTGAAACTAGAGAGAGATGTTTAGTAAAGATGCCTTTTGTTGTTGTCGTCATTGATTGTATGTGCTGTTCCAAGTACTAGATAGGGATTATTGTATACACTTTTCCACGTGTAAGGGATTATGCATGCTTTCAAATATAGCTAACAATCGACAGTGTAAATTACAAAGCATGTTCATATTAATTCTTTTAATAACACTATTTTCCATTTGCAGATGAGGAAAAAAACTTGAGAAGGTGATTTATCTGAGGTCACACACCTAGTAATAAAATGAAACATTTAACTAATAAATATATAAATATAACAAATTTAACAAATAAATATATACCTATAATACTTTAGTTATATGTAAAATACATTTATATATGAATATATTTTATATAAAGTAGATAATATATATTTATAATACTTTAGATATTATAGTTTAATCCTCTCAAAAGCTATATGCAAGAGATAACCATTTTCATATGCATTTCATACCTTAGTAAACTAGGACAGTTAATCAGCATGTCCAAGTTAACTTGGCTATTGAACAGAAGTGCTGGGATTGTAACCCAGTCTACTTGACAGTCTTTGCTTAGAAGAAGACGTTACCTTACAGAGTGAGAGGAAGCCCAACCTTTCTGAGTACAGAATTTGTAATCTTTCCGTTATACCATGTTGCCTCTGTAGTTAGACACTAAACATTAGAGCAGCAAAAACTTTTGAGATCGTTTAAATCCTGGCATATAGTAAAGGTTCCACAAATGTTAGTTATATATAGCTTTTTAATACCTTTGCTTTATTTTAATTGAAAAAACATTTATTGATTTTTGAGAAAGTGAGGAAGGGAGACAGAGAAACATTGATTTGTTGTTCCTCTTATTTATGCGTTCATTGGTTGATTCTTCTACATGCCCTGATGAGGGATCAAACCCACAACCTTGGTGTATTGGGATGATGTTCTAACCAACTGAGCTACCCTGCCAAGGCCTGTAATACCTTTATTATAGAGATTAAACTGGCCCAGGTGGCAAAGCAGTTTGTCCAAGGTCACATAGTTGTTTTGTGTCACAGATAAGACTATACTGAAATGTCTTATTTCCAAGTCCAGGGTTCTTTTCATTCTACCAATTATCTAGCAGGAACACCAGATATGAAGCTGTTTTGATAATGGTTTTTTTCCCTGATTTGTTCTCCCTAGGCCAGGACCAATTGTTGTAAAGTTTCTTTTCTTATTATTGGTAAGGTTGTACTATTTCATTAATTCAACACATTTGTTTGAGCATGCTTATATGCTTGTCTCTCTTGAGCTACAGGTACCTCCTGGATGAGAAGTAGCTGGAAGGACCTTAGAAATCATTGAGTCTTAACTCATTTCATAAATGAGGGGGGTGAGGTACAAAGTGGTCCATGGTCTTCATCTCATGCACTTATGTCAAAAGCATCCTGTTTCTGCAAGGGGGCAGGATTCTGGAGGCCTCATAATACTGTATGTGACCTTTAGGCTCGTGATTTCTTTTACTTGGTATATTCATCCTTGCCTTATAGTTATGCATGTTTAATGGAGTGCTTAGGAAGTGTTTCTGTGTTCCTATGTATTTGTATATACTTTCAACTTCAGTATGCTCCATTTCTATTTTGGAAATTAATCTTATTTTGGCTCCGAATACTTTTTTGTTCTTTCAGGCACTTGAGAACAAACTATGACACTGTGTTTGCATTCACATACGTTAAAATCTAACACTCTATCATAGAGTATCTGAAATGACCACAAGTTGTTTGAATTATACAAAAGTTTTGTTTCCTATTAGAAAATACGTTAGCCCTTTCAATTACATATCCACAAAATAATAAAGCAGGTAAACCTCACCTCTTGTGTGTTAAAGATGATTTCTACATAATTACATAACAAGGTAACAGCTTTGTAAATTAGTGTCTAAACATTCTTGAGACAGCCACTGTGGGAGACATTCTTTTCATCCCCCTCTATTCACCCCCCTATGCCCACTCCATCCAGCACTCTCCAAACCAACGCTTTGATCATTCAGCTTTCCTGCACAGTGCATGACCACTAGGAGACACAAAACATATTTGCAGAATTGCATTCACAAGCACTCCTGAACTCTGTTCCCACATCTTTTTCTTGAATCTCAGTTTTCTCTTTTAATGTAGCTTTGAAATACAGGGTAGGGCAAAAGTAGGTTTATAGTTGTGAGTATGTGAAACACAGAGTTTATTCTTCTGTTATTGTTTATTAATGTATTATTTTCAATGTGAAAAACTCTAAACCTACTTTTTCCCCACCCTGTATAAGATGTAGCTGGTTACTTTCCTTTTAATGTCTACATTGCAGAGAAAAATCTCAGCTTTTGAGATCATCCTCTGAGGGGCTGTTTCTTTGGGAATGTCAATGTCTATAACTTCTCAGATGAGAAATAGATCCAAATAGCAAAACGTAGCAGAGAGGCAATAGAGAGTGGTAGTCTGCAGGCCTGTGATTTAAATCCCAGCCCTGCCTCTTAGGCTGGTTACTTAGCCCTTGGCTTTTTCTATAAAATAGGATAATAGCTATATTTACCTCAAAGTGATGATGAAGATTAAATAAGATACTGCACTTAAAGCTTTCAGCATGTTGTCAGGCACTCAATAGCTTGTATTCAATAGATGAATAGAACTTCTTCTTTTATTAAATGTAAACTTGATATTTGAAAATATATCAGATTTACTCAAGATTTAAACTTGAGTCAGATATCTATTTTATAAAAGGGTTTGCCATTTGTTTTCTTAGAATTGTAAGCTTGGCCAGCACATTTAATATATGAAGTTACCCACAACTCTTGATAACCCATCTTGTCAGCTCAGTGACATTCTCTTGTGTGGGCCGAGAGATAGTGAAGCTTTTGGCTCTGCACTGCCTGCTGAGATGTTCCTAATCTATGGTTCCATCTACGTATTAAATCTTGGGTTGAATAGCGGCCTGCTTCTGTCAGTGGGGCATTCTGTCCACTTCTAGAAAGGCTGAGTCTGTCCCAGGAGCCTCAGGGTTCAAGTGGAGCAGCTGTCCTATCCCACGGCAGTGGCCATGGGGACATGGCAGTGCTCTTTTCTAACACTGGCAACTTCAATAGCCACAAAGTTACTGGTAAGGAGGTGAGTTAGAGAAGACGGGGGATGAAGGAGACAGGGAAGGAAAAAGAGGAATGAGGACCACAGCAAGAGCAAATTGCAGATAGATGAGGGAAAGAGCTGAGGTCCTCAGTATCCTAAACATGTATTTATTCATCTCATTTATCCTACTCCTAGCTCTGTGCCAGGTACTATGCCATCATACATGGGAGATAGAGCAGTAGATGTGTCTGACTTGGAGGGGGTCATGGTGGTGAGTGGTAGTACATTCTAGCTGGGGAAGAGCTTAGAGGAAAGGAGGAAAGAAGAAGAGGAAGGAAGGGCGTGTTGGGATTTTATGAGCAGAAAGAAGGTCTCTGGGTCTGGAGTATAAAAATCAATGGACAGAGAAGGTGGGGGAGATGAGGCTGCAGAGGCAGGCTTGGGTGATAGGCAGAGTCTATCTGTATTGTAAAAGAATTTTGGACTTAATTCAAGGGCATGTGGGAAACCATTTAATAGTCTTAAGTAGAGAAATGATTTGATTTGTTTTCTAAAAAGTGTAGGTGCAGTATGGATGATGAATTTGTGAGAGGTAAAAGTTGATGTTGGAAAACCAGGGAGGCCTGTGCTTCTTTAACTTTAATACATAAAGGAACTTTCTGCTTATCTTAAA